TACATGTGCTAGACCAGTGAATAATTCCAGTGCTTTATCAGCTTGTTGAAACATTTACATTGGTATTCTATCTTGGAACCTTGTTTTTGTCTAATGCTTTTAGTGCAGTTTGAATTTCTTCCTTCCTTACCAGTGGTTCTTGCTCATATGCTACCTCCTGAAATGGATGAATGTCCATTATTTCTATTGGGACAGCAGAGCTATGTAGCCTTTCGATCTTCTCTTGAGGGTTCCTGCATCATTCAGAATTTTGCCCATACAATCTTTCAACATTGCAACACTAGGTTTAAATTTATTTTTGAGTTCTTTCATTCTAAGATATGCTGAACATGTTGTTCCTTTTTGGTTTTCTAACTCTGGGTCTTTTCGCATGTAATTGTAATATTTGACTTTGTCTTCATGAGCTGCCCTTTGAAGTTTTCTGTTCAGGACTTCATCCTTTCTTTCATTTGTTTAGCTTCTCTGTGATTAAGACTAAGTTTCAGAGTCTCTCTGACATTCACTTTGATGTTTTCTTTCTCTCTCTCTCTCTCATGCCCTTTGCTGTCTCCATGTATGGTTTTCTTGATGCCCTCTCACAGCTCACCAGATTTTCTGTTATTAGTGTTCATTGAGTCAAATATTTTCTTGAAATGGCCTCAAAAGTCTGGTGGGATAGACTCGAGGCTGTATTTTGACTCATGTATTTAATTTAATTTTCTTCAGCTTTAACTCAAACTTACATATGAGATATTGATGGTCTGTTTCACGGTTAGCACTGGTCTGGTTTCAGCGGCATGTATTCAGCTTCTTCAGCATCTCTTCCCACAGGGGGCTCAGTTTGATTTCGGTGTATTCCACCCGGAGAAGTCCATATGTATAGTCATCTTTTGTCTTTTTGAAAAAGGGATTTGCTATGAACAAGTCATCGGTGTTGGAAGAGTCTGTCATGCGATCTCCAGCTTTGCTTTTATCAAGTCCCTACTTTACAACTGCTTCTTCTTCATTTCCAACTTTGGCATCCCATCACCAATAATTAACAATGTATTGATTGCATGTTTGATCAATATCTGACTAACATAATTGGTAAAATTCTTCAGTTTCTTTATCACTAGCTTTTGTGGCCAGTGCCACCAATTTGAATACTAGTTCTATTGATTGAATCTCCTTGAAGGCTGATAGATATCATCCAGTGACAGACAGTGTTGTACGTCATGATTGATTTACGCTGTCCTTTAAGACAATGAAGGTGTTACTCCTGTCATAGTAAATCATTTGACTTTCCAATTCAAAATGGCCAATAGCAGTTACTCAGCCCTAGGATATCAATCTTTATGCATTCCATTTCATTTTTGACCATTTCCAATTTTCTAGATTCATACTTAGCACATTCCAAGTTGAGATAATTAGCATATGCTTGCACCTGTTTTTCTCTACCTTGTGTCAAGCCCAATTAGCAAATGAAGATTCCGAAGACTCCACTGCCACATAATTTACTCAATTCACAAAAAGAGAAGAGATGCCTTTTGAACCTGCTTGCCTACCCCCACTTCTGCCAAAGCCCTTCTGCCTTTCCTAGAGGGTCAAGGAGTTGTTCATGGATTGACAGCTGAGACTCTCCCATTGTCTGATCAGATTTCGATGATTTAGTCATATCCATTATTATTTAACTCAATTTTTCTCTAACAAAACTCATAACCCAGTGGGAAAGACAAACATTTATATTAAAGGAAAATGCAATGTAATGAATCATGAAGGGTGTTAGGTCAGGGTCCAAAAAGGTGGGACTTTGATTCAGGCTGTGGAATGAAGGCAGTTTCTCGAAGGATTCAGGGACCTCGCATCCTGAATCCTTCTCTAGCACCATGCCAGCACGCTGTCTGACCCAAATGAGTATGTGCCAAGTAACTGAACATATTGCTTCTTCAAGGACCAGAAGACATTAATTATGATGATAGAGGGGAAAAAAGTGAGAAGATTCCACTGTTTCAGGTTAAGTAAATAACAAGTGGAAGAGCCAAAAATGTGATGTGTTGAAATGAGTTCATTTATGTGTTTTGGTTCTCTGCAAAAATCCATAGGCGTTATTGCCCTCCTAACCCCTGAAGAATTTCCTTGTCCCTAACTTTCTACCTTAGAGATTTTGCTACTCTATTCCCATTTATTTCCCCCCCAATTTCTAGGTAAACTGTAAACAACTATCTTCCTTCATTTTTTTTGTGTCTGACCCTGACCTGCAGCTTGTTCTGTGATTGATAAATACCTTGTAAGAATTGGTCAATATACTGTTCAAATAAAATGACCTTATAATGTCTTAAAATTGAGTTGATCCTGGGTTGTAACCCTACCAAATAATGTCAAATGTTCCCAGTGGGTTTCCACAGCTATAGTCTATATGGAAGCACACTGCTTTTTCCCAACAAAGTGGCTGATGGATTCAAATCAACAGCCTTTCAGTTTCCAGCCAAATGTTTACTCACTGCACCATGAGGCTTCCTTCGAAAGTGGTTATTCACTATACAAATGTAGATACTATGCTACACCTCAAGGAGGGATCAGTTTCAGGCCTTGCTTAGAGGGCTTTGTTTTCAAATTAACAAGGAGTATGCCTGTGTAAGCTGCCAGACATACAGTGTCAGAAAGGGAAACAGAAGCAAGAGAAGCAAGAAGAGGGACTCCGCAGAGATAGAGGAAGCGAGAAGCCTTCTGAAAGATTTCTTATACAGGTTGAGGGCTGTAACAGAGGTCTAGAAGAGGTTCTGCAGCACAGCTGGCAACAAAAGGCCCAGAAGAGGCCTTGGAGCAGAGGTGGTGGCATCAGTAGATGCTGCTGATGAGAATAAAGCTGAACAGTTGACAAATCTGCAACAGTGGTTATGAGCTGGTCCAGTTAGCTGTGGAGAGTGTGAAGGCAGAGAGGGTTAAGTGGCTGAGAGAGAATTCATGGCCAAAGGAGGCCCAGTCCGGTGTGACTGAGTGGATCTCTGTCCTGAGGGGGCTGAGAGAAGGCCTGCATTGCTGAGAAGGGGAGATGCACACACACAGAAGGGTTAACATGTTTCCAAGGCAGGCACCAACTGAGAGAGGGTGCTGTATTGAAGGGGAGGCATGGTCTTTCTACTTTTGGGGATCCATGTTGGCTTTGCCTATATGCTTTCTAGTCCCAACCCTGATTTATGCTCTGTAACTTATTAAATAAATCACTTAAGTATAAGTGCAGTTCATGAGTTCTGTGTAGCTATTGCAAAAAAGTTGTCAAACCCAATCGAGATGTAAAGAGCGCCATTTGGAGGATGGTTGGTGTAGATTGTTACAAAGGCTGAACAGCAGACATAGCTGTATGTCTGACTTCCGATGCATAGGAGCCAGCTTGGAGTTGATTCTGTTTCTTTCTTTTTTAAAATCATTTTATCATGGGCTCATACAACTCATATGTACATCAATTGTAGAAAGCACATTTGAACATTCATTACCCTCATCATTCTCAAAACAATTGCTCTCCATGGAAGCCCCTGGCATTAGCTCCTCATTTTCCCCCTCCCTCCCAGTTCCCCCCTCCCTCATGAACCCTTGATAATTTATAAATCATTATTTTGTCATAGCTTACATTGTCTGATGTCTCCCTTCACCCACTTTTTCTGTTGGCTGTCCCCCAGAAAGGAGGTTATATGTAGATCCTTATAATTGGTTCCCTTTCTCTACCCCACCCTCCCTCTACCCTCCCGGTATTGCCACTCTCACCACTGGTCCTGAAGGGATCATCTGTCCTGGATTCCCTGTGTTTCCAGTTCCCATCTGTCCCAGTGTATGTGCTCAGATCTATCCAGATTTGTAAGGTAGAATTGGGATCACGATAGTGGGCGGGGAAGGAGCATTTAGGAACTAGAGGAAAGTTGTATGTTTCATCATTGATTCTATTTCTTATCCCTAAGGAATCTAGACATGCCTACCACTGCTACCACTACTGAAATGCACATGATGCATTCACAGGTAGGTTTTTGATTTCTATCCACTATCTGCATCATGATGCTCAGTTCTCCAACTTCAGTTATCTGAGGACCATTTTTTGACAGTTTTATTATACTCGTGTGCCATTTGTACGGAGAATTAATGCATAGCTTAAATTGCATTAAACTATATTTTAAAAGATCTAAATTGTACTAAGGCGCCTCTGTTTCATAAAGACGACAGAAAGAGAGGTCCAAGGTACAGTTCTACGCTATCACAGGGGGTCTCTATGATTTGGAATCCACTCAATGACATCCTCAAAGGACAATAAGCCGTGACTTGGAATAAGCTGCGGGCACAATGAAGAGTTCCAGGCAATGCTGTAGCTGAAAAGTGTACACTGTGAAGGCAAACATATTCCATAGGAAATCCCAGCCCTTTGTGGATGTGGTTTTAGCCTCACTTCCTCTCCACGTATTCATTCTACAATAGAAAATGCTACATTGTTTGAATGAGTCCGATGAAAACTGCATAGGTCATGAGTCTCTCTCATAGTTGCCAAGAATCTAGGAGAGTGCTGTATCAATGGTCTATATGATGTTACATAGTACTGGATTAGAATTCTTACTCTCATGTGGAGGCATTATGAAAGTAAGCGATTTGCCACAGGTTACATAGTTAATTCTGAAAGCCCTGTCATTTAAAAAAATAAACTCACTTTCATGGAGTCTATTTGAAGTCATAGAGATCTGGTTGGGTCATGGTTACTGTTGGGCTGCTAACCACGAGGTCAGTAGTTTGAAACTGTCAGGTGTTCCAAAGAAGAAAGATGAGGCTCTAAAACAGTTAAAATTAGGGAACTCATAGGGGAAATTCTACTCTGTCTTATGACCTCCTTGTAATTGTATTGAATAAGGAAGCAAAACGTGTCCTGTACACATTTGGTGTAAACACGTGAGTACTGGCCCATAGTGTTTCCTTCTGAACTGAGTTCTGGATGTTTAGTTCAGACCCTGAATCTCTGCTGACTTGTTTGAACAATAAATGGATTGAACAGGTGTGAGAAGTTGTACCTGTGAGGATTTCAGCTGCATGTCCTGCCAATTTCGGAATCACCAGTCTCAGGGCTCCACCCTCCAGGACCAACAGCAGCGTCCCCGAGCCCTCAGACAGCTCTGTGAACAAAAGCAGACCCTCCTGGCTCCAGGTTCGGAATTGGAAGCTCACTGAGAGCCCATCGATGTGAGGGGTGCCGGGCATCAGCAAATAACTGCTTCTGGAGTTGAGAAATGTGATGGGAACAATCTGTGGTTCAGAGCAGGAAAAAGTGACATTGCCCTGAAAAACAGTAAAAATTAAACAGTTAATAGTTATTTTATTATTATTATTATTATTTTGCAACTTCATGGCTGATAGAAACTATCGCTGGGAGCAGATCTGAATTTCCAGGATAAGATACTTAAGAAAAACCTGTCAGCTTCACTCAGAGACACCTGACAGTTTGCCTTCTATGCCTGTTTTAACAATCACAATGCTATCTGTAAAGGGCCCACCTGAGACCCCAGGTGGAACGGAAACATCAGCATTTTCTAGTTATAAAAGTAATTGCATTCATTCAGTAAATACATGTGGCAAGTCAATTAGGTCCCACTGACTGAGGGACCTCCCCAAGAAATCAACCTGAAGAGACTGCGTTGTCATGGGGAAAGTGCTGGAAAAGAGAACCATCTCCTAAGGGGGTTTTGGCAGAAGAAACAGCCAAACATCCTTAAGCGTATCAGCCAAAGCGTCACAAGCAAGGTGATCTACGTGTGGAAATACAGGATTTGATGGGTATAAGGGTGTGAGGAAAGATAATGGAGTGTGCGAACTGGCTAGCAACAGACATATATAAAAACTCAGCGAAATTAGCAAAGTAGTATGCTGGGAGATGGCAGGCATCTCGTCATTTGTAAGCATAAAGTAGGGGTAGGAGGGCCAAGACCTGGAGGGAGATGAGACAAGACAGAACTGGAATCAAGACAAGTTAGAAGACCTTACGATGCCTTTCCTGGCTTACTATAGTGTGCACAGAATGGAACCAGGATGACGAGTTAGGGAGGGTATTTTGAGAATAAGTGAACGAAAAACTGGTCCAGTGTATCTGATAGTGACTAAGGTTCTACAGCAGGAACTTAAAGGTTAATAAAGAAATGTATACATGTGCCCAATGGAGCCTCGTAGGGGTCTTCGAATAGCTGAGTAAGGAGAAAGCCAGGAATACCTTCCGTATGAAATGTAAATGTATTGTTTTAGGAAGGCTATTTGGAATGTAGACTATCAACCACACAGCTGGGCACTTTGTATTTCCCACTCTTTGCTTTTGCTTCCTTCAGAAATAATAATTTTCACAACAATGTAGTTAGCTCATTCAATGAAGGATAACACATCACTCATATCAAAATAGTTAGAGACACATTCCATTTCCTGCAAATATTACTTTTTAATGTCACTGGCTGACTATTTTACACAATGTAGCTTGTTTAGCCAGCTCCCACTTATGCAAAATGAAAAAAACAATTCTATCTGGGGAATATCCTAGTTTGAATTGTTCAATGCAGCACTCCACTGAAATGACCACGTACTATATACCCAGTATAGCTCTCAGTCCTGGAACAGGTAAATGGACCAACTTCCAAAACCCGCTAGCCTCTGAAAACATCCCTAGACAAAGTATCCATGTTCATTTCCAAAAGTCTTGCATTCATAAAAGCAACCCAATCTTTGTCTTTCCTGAATTTCTGCCAGTTATGCATTAGTAACTAGTCGCTCATGAATCATGCTGTTTTGAGCATATGTTTGCATGAACTATTTGTTTGAGGGGTGTATGTGTTTTCATCTCTTAGAGTGGGTCCCCAAAAGTTAATGAATATGTCCAGTCCCAACATTAAGTCACTTGGTATCCAACATGAAAACACTCTAGCCATAGTTTATATTTTCCAAACAAGATAAAAATCACTTTTGATTTGTAGAGAATTATATGTCTTCTTGGCATAAAATTACTTTATTTGAGACTCAAATATAAGCAGTGACTTCTTTGGTATAGGAGCTATCTACCTCCGCTTATTCAGGAAAGTTAGTCTTGCCTTTATGTCTCAGCTTTACTGAGAGAAAGGCTATGCATTCAAAGAGAAGAGGGGTGAGGACCACAGGAAAGAAACATTAGAATTGAAAAATATTATCCTACTGCATTTTCAGTGATAACTTACATGAATTTGTACAAATCCTTATACTTTACAAAGCACTTTGATGTGCGTCATCTTGAAACAGATTCGAATAGTGATCCAACTACTTACCAGCAATGTGATGTTAGATAAGTCACTTTGACTCTCTTCAATTGGAAAATAGCAAGGCCAACAATAGTTGTTGTCTGTGTTGCCATCAAGACAATTCTAACTCACAATAACTTGTGTGTTAGGGCAAAGCTGTGTTCCATAGGGTTTACAATGACTGACTGTTTGGGTCCTATGATTGGCAAGCCTTTCTTCTGAGGTACTTTGAGTGTTTCCAGAAAGCCAATCTTTCAGTTAGTTGCTAAGTATTTATTTGTCTTTACAATCTAGGGAGGCCAGGAGTTTGGGTTTCTTTTTCTAAAACAATGTTGTTGTACTGGAGGATCATACCCATCTCTGGGCCTCTTATCTCTCTAGCCAATCTGTTAGGTATATATCTATTTGGATCATTTCTATTGTTGGCATTAGAAGTATAGCCATCTATTTATATTCAAATACAACTTGCTTATGAGTCAGATCATAAATAAGGGAAGCTCAGACTTCTTCCCTACTAATTCCTGCTGAACTGCAGAAAAAAGTAAGTGATGAGATTATCCCCCACAAAAATACAAATTTCATATTTAAGAATTTTAAAAAATACATGTTTAAAGCCAACCTTACTAAAAGATAACAATAACATGTTGAATGAATATTCTTCTATAACCCCCATGAGATAAGAATATTGTTTTTATTTAAATTTTTCCCCATTAAGAATGTTAGGTTAATTCTGAACTGTACTAGGAATTACAGAAGCCGAAACTTAAATCGGGTGAAATGGGAGAAATTATATGCAGCTGCTGGAATAAGGGGATATGCTAGAAATTTTGTAAAGAAAACCACAGAATAGTGAGGTGAAAGCCCTATAGCGAGTGGGAAAGAGACTGCCTACCAAGCATATGCCATACATTCTGTCATAAAATCTAAAACTTTGCCAATGCAGATTGAATCCAATACATCCCACTCAACTACAAATTCCTAACCCATGGTAGAATAGCTCATGAAAAAGGACACCTTGCAGCAATGATGTAATTTCCATGGTCTGTTGATGGATCAGGAGTATGATGGTTCAGGGGTTTATCATGTGACTACACAATGGACCAGATGGACTGACCCAAAGAGGGGTTATGATTCATATAGAGTGACTAACTCCAGATGCTTCTCTGCCAACAGAAACAATGAGTAAAACTCCATGCAACAGAATGAAATGTATCAGTGAGCGACTAGGCCTGTCAACTATTTGACTGTTGGTCAACTATTCTGTTCATCTGGGATCAACAGTAAGTGCCCATGGAAACAGAAGTCAAAAATTCAAATGATGTAATGTATTGGACTAAAGACCATCAGATACGCTTTCACATATAAGTGACATGTCTGCTGGTTAAATTTTTAAAGAGATTTCACATGATATTTTCCCAATTTTTAAAAACAAGGAAAAGGAAAAATAGGATGAACTTTGTCCTTTTTATTGTTAAAAAAGAATAATAATAGAACAAATAAGAAATTTTGCATCATTTTGCATCATATGGAAGCTGACAACAAAAAAGGATGATAGAAAATGGACAAAATATAAACATGCCTGTATGAATTGGGTAAAACGAATACAGTTAAGAAGCAGAGGCTGAGATGAATTTATTAAAAATAGCTATCACTAGGGGGTAGAATTTTACCAACTTTTCATTTTCATAAATAGAAATTTCCCTATAATTTATTTAAAATGAGGATATATAACTTTCATAATAAACATTTTAGTTGAATAGTTTTGCATGTATGTTCTCACTTTCTTGGACAGTTTTCATGACAACACTGTCCCTCTATCACAGCCATGGTCGGTGGCTACTGCTTGTACCAGTACTATAATCCTTTCACATGTTTTAGCTAGTTTATCCTTCCTTGTTTTTATCTTTTATTTCTTCATCCTTTTCTTTCTTTTTTTAGGTCTCCCCCCTTTCCCCCCAGCTCCCCCCCCCACACCCAATTTCTTTTCATTTATTTTCTCTCTCTCTCCCCTCTCCCCATTTTATCTTTCCTAAGTGGAATTGTGGTCATGCAATAGGCTGCGATTGGTATTGTTGGAAGTTTGAAACCACCAGTAGCTTCACAGGAGAAAGACTGGCTTTCTACTTCCATAAAGAGTTATAATCGCTGGAACCCTCAGAGGGTCTCTATGAGTCAGCATTGACTTGATGGCAGTGTGTTTGGAGTTTGGCTAATCATTCAGTCAAGAACCAGGGATTCTATCCAGCCATACCCACCATTCCCAGAGTCTCACCTACTGAGCAAGGGCTATCACCTGCTCCAGCACTACTGGACTGATGTCAGACTATTGCCCACAGCTGCATAGCTTACCCTAGGCTACTTCAAGATCCCTGCCTGAGACTCAGCCCAAATCCACACTCCTTCCCAATAGTCAATTCATAGGTGGTGAGAACTCCAATGCTATCAAACTGGAGCCCAGACTAACAACACATTTACCCTGTTTATCTATCATCTATCTATCTATCTATCTATCTATCTATCTATCTATCTA